GATCGCCCCATAGATTAATCATTTCTTTTCCGTCCGGAGATAAGCACCGCATCACCTGGTGAAGGGTGGACAGAACTCCTCTCATCCTGTGTATCCAGCCTCTTCTCATGATGAGATTATAAGAAGGATGAATCTCTGTTAAAACAAAGTTCTCCTTCAGAGTCCTCTTCGCCGTAGTTACGGACAAGTCTATTACTCCTAGGGGATCTACTCGTGTGCCATCAAATCCCATCAACGGGCTGGAGGTAGGTCGAATAGATGATGACGGGATCTCTAGCTGCTTAAAGACCGTCTTTGTGATAATGTTGGCGCTACTTCCTGGATCTATCAAAACCCTCTTGATCATACAATTGGTCACTAAAAGACTGATGACCAATGGATCCTCGTGGGGAAGTTGAACTCTGGATAGGTCGCCATCTCCGAATCCAATACTGATGCTACACGAAGCGATAGCATTAACCGATGATATCTTCCTGAGCTTGTGGGCTTCCCTCAATCTGGATCTGTATACCCCCTCGGACTCTTGATCATCTTCAGACCTGCCATGTATTGCATGAATGACTTTTACTTGCGTACCTTCCAGCTTGCGGGGATAGACCTCACGGGGCTTTGCATACTCCTTTGTCATGAGGTAATCTGCCAACTCACCTCTGGCGATCATATTCTCCACCTGTCACCTAAGGGATCTGCAATTATTGGTTGAATGCCCATAATCTCGATGATAAGCGCAATGCTTGCTTTTGTCCCTTTGCTCCAGGGGTTGCTTTATTGGCTGCGGAGTTGTGAACTTCATCTTATTCTCTTGGAAGAGTCGAGCCAAGGTAGTTCGGAGAGGTGTAAATCATTCCTCTACCCTTTGCCTCTTCTCAGGTGCCTGGGTGATCGGCGTTGAGGAACGTTGGCTTTTCTGAATTTTTGAGGTTGGAATTCTTTCTCGAGGCTTGTTCTCCACCGTTACGAGGGTGGCATGCTGCGCTCGGTGGGCTATATTTTTCTCGAGCCGAATGTAGATCTGGGCCCTAGCATTGAGAGTCTGCATATCGGGAGGAGAATATTTGACCAAGGAAGTGTGGAACTTCGTCCCCTGAATCATCGCAAGTTTAAATGTCTCTATAGCAGTCGCGGGATGACAATCTGCTATTTCTGAGGCTTCCATGTTGAATCTTGATAAGAAATCCTGCAATGTTTCCCCCTTCTTTTGCCTTACGGTGAAGAAGCTAGCAATGCTTTTCTTTTGCTTCTTATTTCCGCAATACTGTGTTAGGAATATGGTGCACAGAGTTACGTAATCCGGGATGGACTTATGCGGTCTATTCCTGAACCACTCTAGTGCTGCTCCTGTCAAGCTAGTAGGAAAAACTCTGCACATCCAAGGGTCATTACGATCATCCAAAGCCATTTTTTGAGCGTAATGATCTAGGTGCCGAGAAGGATCCCTCGTTCCATCAAACTAGGTGAAAGAAGGCATGGTAAATTTCTTGGGCCTCTTAACCAGATACATATCGTCAGTGAAAGGAGTTTTGACCAAGGAATTTTTGTGGTCTCTAGCCATCTCAGCAGGTGTTTGAATTTTCAGGAGTCTTTTCTCATCAAAGGCATCCTGAACACCTGCACCATCTGGGTTTCCATTGGACCACACTGTGAGCTTATGGCTGGATTCGACTTGTTCATCCTGCGTGCGACGAAGGACGTTGTCTGAAGCCGTAGCCTCGAATCTTGCCCTCCGTTGTTGCTGAACCTCATTTGGCTGAGCCTCATTGGGTCGTGCCCCATTAGGTGGAGCCTCATTAGGTGGAAGCCCGGTAATCGGAGGAATATTCTGATTAAGGGGTGCTGCTGTGTCACCCAATGGTGGCGATGGTGCCAACTGAGCCATCGCCGTTTGCAGAGTGTTATTCTGCTGTTGAAGCAAGGCGATCTGAGCTACGCTTGCTTCAGTTGCCTGACGAAGTACGTTAAATTGGTGTAGAAACTCTTCACGCATCTTCTGCATCAACTCCATCTGTTGATCCATTGAAGATCCTACGTTCGACATTCTGGATGGTAGTTGCAAGATTCACCTGTGAAACAAGAGTGAGAATATATTTGCACAGTTTCCCACAGACGGTGCCAAAGTGTAAGTGCAAAATTTCGCTTAATCAATTACGATCGAGAGAAAATAACACAACACACTCAATAAACAATAAGAATAAACAAGAACAGTGTCTATAGAAGAATTGAATTGCTTGGATGATCTTGGGATTCTTTTATTGGAGGTCCTGGCCTCTATTTATACACAAAAAATAGTAGAATTACGGTAGGACTCGCATTACTTGTTCTCCAATCCTTTCTATGTATGACATTCTTTACAATTAGAGTTCTTTTCATTGAAGAATTTTCTATGCACAGAACTTGACTTGTGTAAAATTTCCTTCCATATTAAATCCTCCTATTGGTAGGATTTCTTCATAACTGGCTGGGCTTTGAATAATGGGCCGTATGCTTGATATTAGAGAATGGATTGATACCCTTTTGATCCGGCCTGGATAAAGGTCTAGAGGGCTGATAGTCGAGACCCTGGGCTGAGAATATACTTAATTTGGGCTTGAGTGTGACGGGCCTTTGGAAGACAGATTTGCATCTGAGATGACGTGGAGTAATTCCATTGGAGGGGATTTTTTTTCCCTCCACAGGGACTTAAATTGAAGTTAAATTGGTAATAACTACACTAACTTCCCATTCCATGTGAAAAATGGAGTGTTTAAATATTTTTGAGTGCAAATTGAAGTTGAAAATAGTGGCAAGTGACACCAAGGTTCCATTTCATCATTTTTCATGTGAAAATTGGAAAGCTGATATTATTTCGGAGTGCATTGTAGCGTGTAGGAGTTATTAAAAATAAAAAATAAAAAATAAATAAAAACGTGAAACACTGAATTGAGCTGGACATTTTGGTAGATGGGTTACATTCACGGACCAAAATTACCCTGATTATAATATGTACGCTAAAGACCTAATTAACAATATCTTAATCCAAGTTGTTAATTTATTTTTTTAGACAATATGAGATTATTTTTAACAATACAGTAACTACTTCACTTCTCTTTTCTTGTAATTGATCTAATTATTTTTAACTCGTTCATCATTGTCACGGTGGTATTGAATCTTAACCATCAAGCCTTTTTGAGACCCGTGAAGGATTTGGATCGCAAAAATTAGAGATTTTAATTGAAAGTTATTTAATAAAACTATCCTAAAATTACTTCAATATATGAATGTCTTGATTGAAAATTGTTTAATTGTAAGTAGATATGAGAAAGGAAAAAATATCTCTTCAAATTTGATCAAATATCACATTGGGTTATATCTAATTTTCACTTACACTCTAAAAGTTACTTTTCAAGTGTGTGACTTTTTTATATGTAAAATGACATAGCTACTCTTTTGACTATCTCTTCACTTAAGGAAAAAAAAACAGAAAAAAAGAAGGTTAAAATAACTTGAATACCTTTGACTTTCATTATATAAATTTAAAATTATTCTTTACACCAACCAAGTTATAATTATAAATTTATAATTATTTTTTAACCAACCAAATTATAATTATAATTATAAATTTATAATTATTTTTTAAAATTATTCTTCATATATATATATCATCATGTACACCAAAAAATATATATTTTTGGAGAAAAGAGTGAGATGAAGAGTTTTGGGGGTGCAGAGTAATAAATGAGGACAATTAGGTTATTTTAGAATTTTAATATTTTGGATTAAAATAGATTTTAAATATATATAAAATTGTCACAAAATAACCAAAAAGGAAACTGGGATTTGAGTGATAGTTAATTTTGAAAGATGTTTGATGGTGATATTTGACTAAATTTGAGAGGGTGTCAATAAAATTAACCCTAAAATAAAATAAAATAAAATTTAAAAATATTTTATTTTAGTACAGAGTATTTTTTAAAAGACAAAATGAGAGCTGTTGATAAACTTCGAATCTGTAATAGTCAATACGGCTACTGGCTCCCACATTTCAGAGCAAGCATTCATAAATCATAATTTGCTTGGAGCCAAAAAAAAGGAACCATCAGTTTTTGGTAAATAATTATGAATTAGATTATGTGTTTTATATTACGTTTTGGGTTGACGCTCCATTGCAGCATAACATATCCAGAGCTTGACCAGCTCATACTCATATGATTATCATAAATTTATACACATTGAGGAAATAATCATATCCCCACCGAATAGTCTGAATCATTCAGTACTTGTTTACAAATTTTTTCAATTATTTTTTCAATCATTCTCGGATAGTATTTAGAGCAACTCATAATCCAAAATTCTAGATGCATCAAATTTCCCTCATTTCACATGCATCACATAAAAAAATAAAAATAAAAACTTATTTAAAAGTGGTCTACAGATATTCAAAATCTCAAAATTTAAGAATTTAAGGTAAGAGTTTATCATTAATCCATCATTATTACCTTGAAGTTTTGTTGACATTAATATTGAAATAATAAATTTATAATGATAATATTTTCTTCCACCTAACAAGTCAGTTCACAACAACCTAACCAATATATTCCCAACCTACCCAAGCCAAACTAGTCCAAATTTCCCCACATGGATTTTTTTACTCAAGCAAAATCCCAATATTTTCTTAAAACCTGATCTTTTTTCTAATATAAGAAGAATTCAATCTTATGAGAAAATATCACAAAATAATAATTTTAATGACTTCTAATTAAATTTAATGCATTGAGCACACTTACAGCACCGTACAATGCATCCCAAGGATCTGGACTCCTTTCGCAAGAGAAGCACAACTCATCTACATTAGGAGACCACTGCCCATACACGCACAATAAATAGTTTTACTTATTTACCTATATATATAAGTCCACGTTGACATCCACGTACTCGGTACCAAATTGTATGATTGTTAGCTGGCAATTGCTGTCACACTACCCATCAAAACCTCACTGGATCGCAGCCTCTCCTTTTGTTCTCCACTTCATCGACGGTGAATCCAGTGGAATATTCTAGTCGCTCCGTAAAAAAAACTTTCCGTATGAACCATCGCCGTTAACTTTCCATCTCCTATAAGAACTCCTCACTTCATCACGATCTCAGCTCAACAGAGTCAACACCACACATCTCGTCACCTCTCCAATGGCGAATATTTCACCACACAACAAAAACTAGATTGAACTCGAACCCAATTCACCAATTGCCCAGTACTTCCATGAAAGCCAAGAAAGAGAGCCAAAAAAACCTAGATTGAACTTGTACCCAATTCGTCAAATGGCCAATACTACCACGAAAAGCAAGAAAGAGAACCAGGGTCTTCTCTTAGGCCGATATGAGACCGGAAAGCTGCTCGGCCAAGGAACATTCGCCAAGGTATACCAAGCCCGAAACATCAAGACCAACGAAATCGTCGCCATCAAAGTCATCGACAAAGAGAAGATCCTCAAAGGCGGTCTCATCGCCCACATCAAGCGCGAGATCTCCATCCTCCGACGTCTCCGCCACCCCAACATCGTCCAACTGTTCGAAGTAATGGCTACAAAGACCAAAATCTACTTCGTCATGGAGTATGTAAAAGGCGGCGAGCTCTTCAATAAAGTTGCCAAAGGCCGATTGCCTGAGCAAGTCGCAAGAAAGTACTTCCAACAGTTGATTTCCGCAGTCGGGTTTTGCCATGCTCGAGGCGTGTATCACAGAGATCTCAAGCCCGAGAATCTATTGTTGGATGAAGATGGTGATCTCAAGGTGTCTGATTTTGGGCTCAGCGCCGTTGCCGACCAGATACGGCAGGACGGGCTGTTTCACACCTTTTGTGGGACGCCGGCGTACGTTGCGCCGGAGGTTTTGGCCAGAAAAGGGTATGATGCGGCCAAGGCTGATTTATGGTCATGTGGGGTTGTTCTGTTTGTATTAATGGCGGGTCATTTGCCATTTCATGATAAGAACGTCATGGTAATGTATAAGAAGATATACAGAGGTGAGTTTCGGTGTCCACGGTGGTTCTCACCGGAGATAATTCGCCTCGTGTCGCGTCTTCTCGACACCAATCCGGAGACCCGGATCACAATCCCGGAGATTATGAACCATAAATGGTTTAAAAAGGGGTTTAAGCATATCAAATTCTATATTGAGGATAATAAGTTATGCAGTGTTCCGAATGTTGATGATGATGATGGTGTGGATTCATTTTCGGATCAATCACTGTCGGAATCAGAGTCGGAAATGGAAAGTAGGAGGAGAATTGGGAATTTGCCTAGACCGGCGAGCTTGAATGCGTTTGACATTATATCATTTTCGCCTGCATTTGGTTTGTCCGGGCTGTTTGAGGAGGAAGGAGAGGAAGCCAGGTTTGTGTCCGGAGCTCCAGTGTCGAAGATTATATCAAAATTGGAGGAGATTGCGAAGGTGGTTAGTTTTTCAGTGAGAAAGAAGGATTGCACGGTGAATTTTGAGGGGACAAGAGAGGGAGTGAAGGGACCTTTGACCATTGCAGCTGAGATATTCGAATTAACGCCGTCATTGGTGGTGGTGGAAGTGAAGAAGAAAGGAGGGGATAAAGGAGAGTATGAGGATTTCTGTAATAAGGAATTGAGGCCTGGGTTGCAGGACCTTATGCTGGAGGAATCTGCTGCTTCTTCACTTTTGCCTTCAGATACTGAATGAAGAAAGAAGAGAAAAGGGTATGCCTCTTCTTTTTCTCTTCTTTGCACAGCTTCTTATGATAATTGTTCCCTTTGATCCCTTTTGTTGTGAGACCTGGATGAAAGTTCGGATTTTTATTGATAAATTAGGAATTAAAGTTGTTTTTTTCCCATTTAAGATGAGCTACTAATCTGTCTCTTGTAAAATACACACAGTAGGGTATGTGGGTTTTTTCTTGTCGTTGCAAAAATTAGAAACACTTAATAAAGATGAGGACAGTGAAGACTTCTTGAGAATGTCATTATCCTTTTGCTGTTCAATTGCATATTTGCAAACTATGTTTGAGACTTCAAGCACGCGATTTTGCTGTTTCTATATCAGAATGTTCCAATGATGTTGCATGGAGACCTTACGAGGCACATTGTGCCTGTTCAAGTAGTGCTCACTAGATTTATAAACTATTAGTTATATTTCAATGACAATTGTAGTAAAAAAATATTAGAGTTCGATTAAAATTCCGACATTCAGTTATTTGGAATGTTGAATGGTGGTAAGAAATACCAATATGGATATCGGTAGTTCAATTCAAATTAAGATGTTTTGAAAGAGTCATTGACGTTAAAAAGTGTACTCCCCAATTCCCCATTGGTTTTGCAATTGTGAGGAATTCTTCGTTTGCAAAGTGATGGGCTCTTGGTGATGTTGCAGCATGGGGTTCTATCACATTATTTTGTTGAATTAGAGAAACAGCTTTTGAAGGTGAATTAGGATTTTCTAGAAAACAGTTTACTACTTGTGGAGAGACGAAGGAGAGTGTGAAAAAGTCTGTAACCAAGATAGAGCCTAAATGCAGAACCTTCTGTCAGATTAAATTTGTGGCTCTTCAAATTGCCCTTTGAACTCTCTCTCCAGGGTATCTCTGTGATAAATTTTGGGCATTCCTTGTTTTATTGAGTAGGTGGAGTTGTAGATGTACTAACTCTTTTATGCGCTTAAAATTTGTTTTAGAATGCTACATTAGACAAATATATGGACAAGGATACACGAGTTCTCTTTTTTCTGTTCTTGGTGGGTGATTGCATTTTTACCATGTAAAAGAAGTTGTATCTAATAAGTACCTAGGTTAAGTGATGCTCTGTTTCTGTTACAATATTACGTTCTAGAAACATTTGGGTTCTGCATTTCATCATAAAAACACTGTATCGTCACTATACAAGTGGAAGATTGTTTTCCTTTTTAGCTTCCCAGTTTGTACACTGGCCAACCATTAGTAAGGTACACTTTCTGCATTTGTTGTTGCTGCTTCTACTTGTACGAAAATCGTAAAGGAAAACATGCTGGCAGTGTAATCAGAATATATATAAAAATTACAATTTTAGTTTAACGTGGCACTTATAGACTTAGTAATTCAGCATTACCTCGATCATTTGAGTGGCAGTTTGGGTATACTGGAGTATAAATGGAAGCACTAAATTAAAATTAAATTATGAGTCAAAATGTATAGACAATATGAAGCTAAATCATTTACAAAAAGAAAAATACTCGGCAATTTGTTCTTGTTGCTTTTGAATTCTGAAGAACTTCTCCTTTCCTTTCCTTCATATTCAAGCTGCTTGCTTACGAAAATGGGTACCAGCATGATATTTTTAATTATCTGCAACAGTGTTTACTGTGTATACTCAACTTAAATTAGGGTAACTTCTTGAAAAGCAGTATTTGGTGTAATTACAGTATATCTAAGTACTATAGCTAAAACCTACATGAGCTGCCACTAATAGTGAGTAATTAATATAGTAGTGGTCGATGATGATTGAGGGGTTATCACTTGATGCAATAGTATAAGCTCAGGCTGGCAAGCGGTGAACAGACTTTCAAGTTTGAGAGTAGTTACTTTGTGCCAAGCAATACGCATATGTGGGAGCAACATTGGGTAATTCAAGTTGATGACTTGAAGTGTTAATTAAGATGTAATCTCTGACTAGAATTAGTTGTGAAGGTATACAAATATTTTAAATTTGTGATGGATTTTGTAAGGAGATGAACTTGGTTGTGTTGTGATGTATTTGCCCGATTCTCTCTATTAGGATGTCGTGATATCCTTGTATTCATCGGAAAGGCAAATGAGAATTGCCCAGGCACATGGGGGTAGTTATTCTGCTAAGAAATGAAAGTGATAAGTTGGTTCATGACCTAATTTGGTGTTGGTCATCAGAGACACCTCAAAGGGGATAAGGGAAGGACTAGGGAGACGTGGGCAAAACTAATAGCAGTTGCACCTTTTTTTGGTCAATAATAGTTGTGTCATGATCTCATTACACAGATAATATGCTCCACGTATTTACGTCACATTGTTAGGACAACATTATCAGATAGAATTGCTTCTTTGTATATATATGTATGTAATTTTAATAGCTACATATAACATTTATGAAATCTCTTATTCATTATGTTATCTGCATTGTGTGTTCATACTCTCATCGTAGATGTCGCTTCTCCAGATCTCATGCTTACTCATCATTGTTGGTGAAAACCGACCTTATCTCACAATTATCCAACCATTTGGTGAAGAAAGTGCTATAATGAAAGCACACGAGTTTACAAATAGACTTGCTGTAATATGAATAGCTATTTATTTATTTATTATTATTTTTTTTATTAATTGTCGAATATTCAAGAAACAAGAAAATTGGTTTATGCATGTCAGCAATGTCATAGGTCAAATTTTATATTACACCCGTATACATGCATGCAAATATAGTGACTTTCATTACCTTTATTGGTTAGTAAAAATTAGTTAAATTTGACTCTTATGGTGGTGAAATTAAATTTTTGAAGTGGTAAATTTTTGAAGTTGATGTGGTGATGTTTGCAGAAAAAGGTGTACAGCGAGTAAAATCATCTTGGATGGGAACAAAGATTTTGTGTGTTAATTTTAGAAAATTTCATTCAGGACAGGACACAAATGAATCTAGATATGTGCTACTTTCGCTTTCAATTTACTCATGAAAAGTCAAAAGTGCTAATGCGACAACGTGAGTTGAGACATGTGAGTCCATGCGTTGGAATTTAGTATGAGTATTATTACTAGTCCCACGTTTTGTCTTTTTAGGTGGACAACTTGCAGTGGTCAAAGCATAATTTTCTACAAGGACAAAGCTAGACAAATTATGTTACATATTTCAATGGACCACATCCACACAACATGTGTAATGTCATACTGTGCTAGTCCTTATCCCATTTTCTTTCTAGGGTTGATCTTTGGATTGGAAAACATATATTTTTTTTCGTAGTGTTTATGTGATCCTCTCTTGATTTTTTTTTTTTTTTTGGGGGTACCAGATTTCACTGCACTTATGCAACACTTTTATTTCAAGAATGTAGCATCATTATATTGCAGTCTTGCATCTAGAAGTGAATGTGTGACGTGGGTTTTGCATTATTGAAGTAAATGTGTTGCATGAATGTTATATTTTCGAAATAATTGTGTAACATGTGCACTTAAAAGCACTTGTACCGAAAAGGATCATCTTTCATACAAACTATTGTGAATCTTTGATACAATTCATGCAGGGCAAAGATGTCTATCTTACCAAATTAGTAGTAATTTGTAGACTAAGAAGAATGGACACAGATATGGGACATGGATACGATGTGGACACATTGATACATCAAATTCTATGCTAAAGTTACATAAGTTAGAAAGCTTTTTTAATTTATAATTTTTATCTAAAGTTACATAAGTTAGAAGATGGAACTTTTTGAATATAGAAAAAAGAAAAAAGCTATATCATGTATGATATTATTACACTCTTATCTTGTCATTATAGTTATGTTTTGTTTATTACATATTCAAACATGGGAATTGTGAATTCTTTGATGTATGGTCATAAGGTTGGTTATGGGATTGCCATGTGTTTGTTTTATATATGATGGAGAATATGGGATGTGTTGATTGAGTATCTGATCATAAAGTGCCTGGACACATGTCCAGGAGTGTCCATAAAATGTCGGTGTCCGACACGGACACTTAGACAACAATGGCCAAATGTTTTGGTGTTCGATTGGACACCCACCTTAAATGTCACAAATTATTGTTTAGCTTAATAAACATAGTAAATGAAAAGAGAACCTTTAAGACAACAATGACCTTACATTTTTCAAAACTGTGCAATGAACGTTTACAAAAGTTATGAAACATAAAATAGGAAAAGAAAATAGATAGCATGGATGAGAAGCAAAAACCTCATGTGGCTATTTGCATGCATTGTTCTCTCTCACCAGGGTTTGGCAACTTAACTTCAAAGCCAACAAGGTACAAGTAAGGCTGGTATATATATATATATATATATATATATATATATATGTATATATGTCAAAATGCATTATTTTTGTATAGGAAAAACAACTCCTACAACACCTAGCCCAGAGTATTCTAATGCTGGTTATTAATGTTGCTGCTGTTGTTGCTGCTGTCCACAACCTTGCCATGTCCAGACAATATCTTTAAGGTTAGGCTTCAAGTCCTGCTTGCAGAACTTCCTATATTCCATCGTGTCCCCCGCCGCTTTCTTCACCTCCACCATGTGTAATGAAGGTGTAACCTCAAATATTTCTGCGTTCACCGCGAGCTGCCCTTTTCTCCCTACTTTGCTGCCTTGCAACTTCACTGTTCCATCTTTCTTTTTAACCTTGAAATTCTCCATCATCGCAATCTCTTCCAATTTCGACACGATTGTTGATGCAGATTCTGTGGTGGTGAATCGTGCCTCCTCCCTCTGATCCATATCCTTCTCGAACAGGCCTGAGAGATTGAACCCGGGCGAGAGAGATATGATATCAAAGGCATTCACACAAGTTGGTTTCATGGAGCTTGTCGATGCCTCTCCTCTACTCTCAGAACTTCCTTCGCATTCTGATTGAAAGGCCTCTTGAACGTCGAGAAGGCGTGGCACGTCATCCTCATCTTGACAGGGCTGAGGGGTTTCTATCTGTTTGAATCCTTCCTTGAACCATGGATTTTCCATGAGCTTTGCCACGGTTATTCTTGTGCATGGATTCGGATCGAGGATTTTCGAAAGAAGCTTTCTTACCTCAGGAATGAACCATTGTGGGCACTTGAATTCGCCTTTGCTGATCTTCTTGTACATTTCCACAAGGTTTGAATCTCTGAAAGGAAGATAACCCGCCAACAGAACATAGAGAATCACTCCACATGACCAGATATCAGCCTTCTCTCCATCATATCCTTTCTTGTTGATGACTTCGGGTGCAATGTAGGCCGGAGTTCCACACGTTGTGTGGAGGAGGCCATCTTGCCTTCTTGACTCGAACAACGCACTCAACCCAAAATCCGACACTTTGAGGTCTCCATGTTCGTCGAGGAGAAGATTCTCCGGCTTGAGATCGCGGTGGTAGACCCCTCGGCTATGGCAGAAATCAACTGCAGCGATCAACTGTTGGAAGTACTTTCGTGCCACATCTTGGTGGAGCTTCCCTTTGGCAACCTTGTTGAAAAGCTCTCCGCCTTTCACATACTCCATGACGAAAAAAATCTTGGTCTTGCTGGCCATGACCTCGTAGAGCTCAACAACATTAGGGTGCCTCACAAGCCTCATAACGGAGATTTCTCGTTTGATCTGATCTATCAGACCAACCTTCATGATCTTCTCTTTGTCAAAGATCTTTATAGCAACACTCTGGCCGGTTTTTAGGTTTCGTCCATGGTAGACCTTGGCGAATGTACCTTGACCTAGCAGCCTTCCGAGCTCGTACCTTTGCATCAATATGGTCCCTTTTTTCTCCATTTTTACTATCCTTCTGGCTCGAACAGAAGAAATTCAATCAGGAGAAGAAAGAATTACATGAATTTACATTCCCCTTTTTTCCCTGTATTTCGATCTGTCCGTATTCGTCCCGAGAAGAATGACGGGACTTGTTCCAAGGAGGGAGGAGAGGAAGGATTTCAAGGGTTTGAATTTCCCTTGTGAGAGAGGTTAAGAAAACTACAGTACTTTTATCCAACAATATTATTTTAATGGTTTCTAAAGCTGACAAAAAAAACTATCACCCAATAGACGTTGGCAAAAATAGTAATTTTTTTTTTTTTTTGCATGGTTGAGTTTAACGTACGAGAATTATGCAGTTATATGCTTCTATATATAGAAATATATTTTGACCGATGGTTTGGATCATAATATCATATGTGAGGTAGCAGGAACTCAGAGGGCAGTATATATATGTGTGTATTTGAATTATATATATTTGTGTGTTTTTTTTGTTATCATGAAATGTAGGATGTTTTTAAGCACAGACTGACTTCTATTACGACAGCTTCAAAGGCTAAACTATTTCTTAGGGTTGAGTGACATGAAGATGCGAAACAAGTGGTGAGGAAATAATTACCTGAGCTTCTCAATTCCTTGTGGTGTTGTTTTGTTCAATTTTTTTTTTTAGATTCAAACTCTGAAAATGTACAAAGCCTACGGTGTGGACATGGGCCAACTTAAGGTCAGAATAGCAATAGTGGAAAGAGCAAATGAGGCCCAACCCGAAAAAAAAAAAAAAAAAACACACTTATAAGTCTAGCCCAATTAATGACATCCAGCCCACCGACCAAAACATGTAACTGTTATTCACGAATACGATACAATAAATCTAAAAATTATATACAAAAAAAATTAATTTTAGTATATGCATATAAATCTGTACCCAAGATAAAATTATTCAAAACCTAGTGCAAATTCGAGATTGTTAAAAAAAAAAAAAAAAAAAAGTAGTGAAAGAGCGAAACTTTAACAGTAAGGCTCTGTTTGAATAAACAAGATATAAAATAAAAGCTATAATAGTAAAAAAATAAAAGCTATAATAGTAATAATCTCTATTTAAAAGAAAGGGAATGATAGTATTCTTGTCTGAAAAAGGTAAATGAGAGAAGTAAAAAGAAATGAAATGATAACAACCAAATTACTATCATACCCTTTTATAAGATGTGATTCAAGTGTATTAACAAGTTTATTCTTTTAATTGTTGAGGGTAGTTTCGAGATTACTTAACTACAATTCTTTCTCTCCAAATATTTCCATTTTTTAGAGGATATTATATGAGGGATTTAAAGGGATAACTATCCATCCAAATCTCTCACAATCCTTTCTTTTTCTCTCCATTTTTTTCCCCTTTTTTCTCTCCATTTAAGACGACACAAAAACACTTCACACTCTCCTTGCTTTTCTTTTCAAATCCCTCCAAATTATTCAATCCAAACGGAGCCTAAACTGAGTAGGAAAAAGAGAGAAGAATAAAAAACTTAATCATAGAGTATGAAAGACCAAAAAATTATGTACCTATTCGTAGATGGGTGACGCAACCACTGGAGTTGTCATCTTGTTGGTGGTCGATCTCTTTTTTTTTTCTTCTTCATTTTCTTATTCTTCTTCTTCTCCTTATCCTCTCTCTCTATTCTACGATAAGAGCAATTGTGATACCCCGGGGATATCAAATAATTAATATTTGAAATAAGTATGGAATACGAGAGGATAAATAATAACGTTGAAAGAAAAAACTAAAATAATAATTAATAGTCATTAACTACTCTGATACCAAAACTCCAACAAATCCAATAATAAATGAATCTCTATAATACAACTCGGAAATCCATATATACTAGACCCCTTATAAAAATCCCATAACTCAAATCATAACGTCTATGTCTACTGAATAAATAAAAAAAGATGATGTCATACGTTAATAACTCTGGAAGAATGAATATGGATGTTCTCTGATCAACACGAACAATCTCTAAGTCCGGAACTGACGTGTACCTGAAAAATAAAAGTGTGGGTCAGACCCACAAATAAGTTCTTTCTACTACAACCTAATTAGAGAACCGATAAATGATACACCTCTAGCCAACTCATGTAATATTTATATAGTCAGTACATATATATACACACTAAGACGCTCACTAGACTATAGGGCAGTTTCAACCGGATAGTGGGTATCTCATGAAAAATCGCAGACAATATGGTCAAGAGTCCCTTTTTACCAGGGCCTACACATCTCCTATATCTGGCTATTCATCTTTACCAGCAATATACGCTTCAGTCCTAACCACTGATCCCAAGACCTTAAGCTTGTATTAGGGTACACATTTAAATATATATAACATGGCCATATCCCAACAATGGCACACATGCACCTGTAAAATATTATAGCCATATCCTGACAATGGCACAACATAGAATGAGTCTAAACTTATTAACCAGCTCACCTACATTACATGCATCACATGGTCATATCC